CCTCTGCGTGGTAGTCCGGCATGGTAACCGTTCGGCCACGGAGGCAGTTATCATCATATATCATAGTGTCGATCGTATGAAGGAACATGTCCGAGCAGTAAAAAACAATGATGCACAGAAGTCGACTATAGCACAACCACTGGATCGAGTTACATAGCCCCTAGGGGCTCCTAGAGAGTACCTAGGTACTCTCGACAGAACGTCACTACATACCACGGTTGGTACGAGAAGCCATCGAGATCACGAAGTACAAAACATTTAACCGTAATGATGGTTTTAAACTGTCCAGTGCATGGAATCCGGTCCTTAGTGCGTGTAGTAATAAAAACAAAAACACCTCGAGTTCAGTTTCGCGTGTGGATACAGTGAGTGTGGTTTGTTCAAACAAACAACGAACAAATCGCGATGAAGGTAGTCAGCGCAAGAGGGTAGACAGATATGTCTGCTCATAAAGCTGTCATCTACCGCCGTCCAGTCAACCCGTGACCATGGAGCGTGCAACCGTTCCGAAATATCGGGAAAATAAAAAGAAGTCCTTCCGTGGCAATAATCCTGATATTAGTGATAATCATTTAGTGAATAGCCACGAAAGTCTTAAAATGTGTATAATAAATAATTTGTTAAATATATGTATGTGTAATATTTATTTAATATTTGTATTTATGTAATTAATTGGACATATTATTCTTATCTTCTAAATATTCATGCAGCGTATAGTAACATTTAGCTATTCAAAGTGTTTTTAAAGCTTTTATAAATTTTGTGTCGCTTTTTTCCTTTCATTAACTTAGGTAATTTATTGTACATTTTTATTGTCATAACATACGGACTGCAATGTCGATTTCGAAGTTGGTGGTATTAATCTGTCGTTATGACGGAAGAAATATTTGGGTTGGAATATCTTCTCGTTTTGTATACATATCTAAGTTTTTTCGAACTGTTATACCCTGATTTTCTTCCATTGAATATGACAACTAAGCATTTATATTGTAATAAAACTAAATGCAGCCGCGTGGCCAGTCAGTTAGCTGATTTACCACCACTCGCGCAATACGCAATATCAGGAGCAAAGACATTAGTGCTGTAATCCCGTTGGTCACATTTTTGTAAAAGTTAAACTTTGTCAAATCGTGAAAGTGCACAATAAATATTTCAGGGAAAATTTTGTGAGTTTTTTAAAAGACTGGTGGCCACTGCCACCTAACAGAACGAACTTACATATTTCCAGTGTGTATATGCACGGTAGAGTGAGAATTTTGTGCTGTTGGAAGAAAGGTTTACAACTATCGGTTTGTTTTATATTGACTAAGATTCGAACGAGCCTTTTTGGAGCGTAAATACACTTGATGTATCTACACTATTCCATTCCATTCCATTCATATGCACGTAGTACGTAGTCAACGCCGTTTGTACGTTCGTGATCTCTTTAACTTCACGAAGTGCATATGCGAAACTTGATAGTTTAGTTATTATTTTATTGGTATGCGCCTTCCAATTGATGTTGGTGTCAATGACTGTATTTAGCAAAGTGAAATTATTTAATTTTTCTCTGATCACATTATTGAATTTGAAATTTATGTCTATTTTATTGAAAAAGGATGGAATGTTATTAATCTGTTTTTTTTTATTTGCAGGTTATGTTCCTCCATCCAGTTTGATGTATTCCCAAATATACAGTTGAGCTTTTCATTTAGGTTAACATTATTCTGATATGGTGTACCTAAGTATGGAGATGTCGTCAGTGAATAGTACACATGACTCGTTTGCTATTTTTGGCAGATCGTTGATATATATCAGAAATAGAAGACAGCCGATGACACTTCCTTGCGGAATAGATGCATCAGTAATGTTACCTTTTGATCGTATATTTTCGACGTTGCCGTTTTTTATAGTTGAAAAATTTAATTCATACAAATTGCTCTCGATCTTTTAAGTATGATGCGAACCATTTATGTGACGTTCCGCGTATACCTATTCCATATAATTTTTGTAACAGTATATCGTATTGCACTCTGTCGTAGGCCTTAGTCATGCCTAGTAAAATCCCAATTGCATAGTTTTTATTATTTTGTTAGAAATCTAAACCAGAAATCATAAAAACAACTAGAAATTAAGAATAATTTTAATGAAATAAAAATCGGTTACAAAATCTAATGTTCAAATTTGAAAGCACGGGACTTTACACAGCTCGCTAATGCCATGACTTTTCTTATTTTTCAGGTTTCTAATAGTTTTGTTGATTTCACGGTAGTTTATTGGTGTTAGACACATTGTATTTTCATTTGGCTACATGACGGGGCGGCCGCGAGGTTTTTCACTGTTTTGGTTGCTTTGTTCTCCCGCAGATGCAAAACAACAACTGAAAATGTCAACTACCTCTTTAGGATCACTAATTTGCCTATCATTATCATTTGGTTGTAATATTATGTTAAATTTATCTTTGACTAGCTTTTTATTAGTTCGCTCGTTTATAATACTCCACATTGTTTTTATCTTGTTTCAGTTTTTTTGTAGTGTTTACCAACTTTTTAAATACGTTTTAATATTTTGTAAGTACTTGACTATTCGAATTTCGAGTGAGCATTTTTTTAATAATCTTTTATTTTTTCATTTTTTTTATTTATTTATTTATTTATTTCAGGCAACTAGGACCCATACATACATACCTTATAGACTAATCATAAATACAATATAACATGATAATATATGTATAATGTATTGTAATTTAAATAAGTACCTACTAACACAGTTGCTAAGTCTTATTTTAACAAATTATGGAAACTTTTTCTGAAATAAAGTATTCTTATTATTATTATTATAGTTTCCCGATTTATTGAGCTTAATTTTGATTTAAAACATTCGACATTAATTTTATAGTAGATTTTTTCCTAGTACCAAGTTAATTTTATTATTTAGTTTCGCTAATTTTATTTGAATTATAGTTCCGAAGTGATGAGATAAACCTAAATGTTGTACTGTCGCTTTCAACATTTTATATTTTAAGTTTGTAAATATAAGATCTAAACATTTTGCCGCAGTATGCGTAACATGTGTAGGTGTTTTTATGTACTTTCTGAGTGAGATCTAGAAACTGTGAGATTGTTTTGTAAGATATCTATATTAAAGTCACCTCCTAGTACTATGTCCAATTAATTTTTTTTTTTTTTATGTTAAGTAGTAGGCAAACGAGCAGACAAGCCACTTGATGGGAGGTGGTTATTGTCGCCCATGGACACGAGCAATACCAGAGGCATCACCCATGCGTTGCCGACTCCGGAGAACCTTGTTTACACGTCTTTTGAAGAACTCCATGTTATAGCGCAAGGGGAACACTTCAGGAGGATTTAATTTAAGATATTACTATAAATATAGCAGCTATACAAATTTGTTCAAATCAGTTATTCACTTAAGTAAATGTTTGTTGAATTATGTTCTTTTTATGTCGCTTTAGAGTTATATTCGTTATTACGGCGCCCGAACAGGTGGTGGTCATGGTGACGCCGTTTCAATATGCATGCAACACGCTGTGTGAACCCATTATGCAAATTATTACCTTGAGTTTGTCAACCAATAATAACAGAGGTGCCATATCAATTGCTTGAACTTCAGCACTTCCATTCCCGGGCCGGGAGAAATATTTGTAAGGCCTACATTTATTTATCTCGTGAATTTGGGTGTAATTTGTGGTTGTTTATGTGTGTGTTCATGACACCCGCGACACAGGGTGTGCGTTATTTATTTATTTATTATTTATTCTTAAGGGTAGCTGTCCTCAGGTGCAGGCCAGTCAATCTCTGACCATAGTGCGTGTAGCTAAACATGGATAATCTCGACTCCGAGAAGTAGTAATTCGAATCACTGAATCCGATTCCGCTGTCGATACCGCCTTCTCATTGAGTCTCAAACCGCTCCGTATCGTTACATACTTGTCATAAATTCAAAACCTACGGATCGATGTTTGAGTTTCTAATGCAACTATAGAGTTTTTTATCCGACTGCGCTAAGAATATTGAAGTGGAACATTTTACTATAGGTTTTTTCCTAAACTTGGTGTTGGTGCGAATTATCTCTTTTAAATAGAGAACACACACAAAATTTCAGCACTTACAATTAAGTGGGCTTATGTTTAATTTAATTAAATTGGCACTAAAAATAAGTTCGAATTACAAAATTACGATAGGTATACCTTATTGATTATTTCACATCGTACTTTATAGGCTTAGGACTGTCAATTTAAATGCACGGGCGCCTGTCGCGCCGGAACTGATACTCTGAACACCAAAGCTGTATTAATGGTTTTAGATTGGCGTACTTAAATATCAGTTCCAAATATCACTTCCACAAGTAGGTCAGCGAGCGACGAGCAGACGGGTTTGTAGTCTTTTTATGCGTATGATACCAGGATCAAATTGCTTATTGCTTTCATGATACTAAACAACGTGGCGTTTGTAAATTTCGCACCCGCCTTCAGTTTGTCGCATTCTTTGCCTGCCAGCACGGCAGGCTTTTGCAGGTCGCCACTCCAGCTGGCCGGAGGGCGTCCTTCACATTTGTTGTCAATGTTGTTCACACACACACATTGTTCGTTGTCATGTGTTCCCTAAATCGTAGGTATAAGGCCTGGATTACCGGATCGCTTGTGATCGTTTTGTGAGTCTGTGTAATGATAAATCTCAATTTAAAGAACAAGAATAGGAGAGGATTCACTCTTTTTGCGCAATTGTTCCGACGCCAACGCAAACTTGTGCTATTCTACTATCCGTCAGTCTTGTTTGTTCAACGACTCGATTCTTCTAAATCCGAATGAAAAGTGTCTCCTCAAATTTATAAATAATTTCCGAAGCACTGGATATTAGCATTAATCTTTATCGTTCACGTTGACAAAAACATTAGTTACTTAAATTTTTACTGATCCGCGACGAGAAGTCACGTTATGATGATAAGAGCTGGCGTCATTCGAGCGCTTTGTTTGCCACAACCCTACAAATTGCTTTATTTACCTCCACTCGGCGTTTGCGCACTTCATACACTCATCGACTTCACTCAAGAACGCTCGATTCGCGACACTCATTTCAATAATCATGAAGCTTATTACCGTGAGTTTTTTTTTATTATAAACTAAAAATGTATTATTTTATATGCTTATCGGTTTTCTTGTTTTATTTTTTTTTAGATTTATTCTATTTTGTTGTTTGTCAATAATGTCCCAAGACTTCATTACTTTTCGTTTAAGATATTTTAAGACTCGAGCTACCTAAAGTATAGCGAATAACTTGTTCTGTCCGTCATTCAAAATCTTTTGAACTTCTTGTTAAGTTGCTATGATAACTTTCGAGGAATTGCCTTGCAAGGCGGGACAGGGTCGAAACTCTTCGAAAGCACGTGAACTCGCCAACCCGCACGATTATCAGTTCTTTACAAACGAAGTGACTAACCAAACAATGATACTGGTTTCGTTTCATGAAACATACCTGTAATGGCACGTTGTTCTTGTACAAGTTAAAAGGAAAATAGAAACTTACACCTACTTAGTTTATAAGCGATTATGGAAAGTGAATTTCGTATGGACTACATACTCGTAATAGTGCTGTTGTCAATTCATTTTGAAAAAGAAACTCATGGCCGTGGAATGCCTTGTTTCGAGTTTTGTTAACATCTTTTTTATATTATGATAGAACCCAGCGAGATAAGCGACACGCGCCGCACCGATTCGCCACTGCGCAGGCGCAAACGTGCTATGACTAATCAGCAGCCATTTTTACCTTTAACTTATTACTAATCTCTAAGTATTCGGCTTCTGAGTTGAGCCTTCACATTAAGTAAATTGTTCAAAAACGGACTTTGTAACATCAAGAACGGACGAACTTTCAACAAATAAGTTTATTTGTCGAAGTAATGGGTGGGAACGAGGCGCTTTAAAACTGAACTGCAAGAGCCGTTACGCTTCCCACTACTAGGCACGAGTCTCTTCGAATGAATGCAACAGTAGAGTAGTGTTGTGAACTGGAATATAGGAAGGATTCACATAATATATCGTAATAATTGGGAACGTCCTCGTGTACACTCCGTCGCCAGTGCCGAGTACGACTCCATGGCGGCAGAGATTACGACTCAAGTTATTGGTCATTAAACGGCTTTATTGGATTCGCGACAAGGGCCGTTTCACGCCGACGCAGCGGTTAGCCATTGCCAATGTAACAACAGGCAAACGGATGTTTCATTTTTATGACTTCTGTACTTATGCGATTAAGTAGTTGTTGCAAAAGTAATATTGCTGACTGATCCAGGATCAAAAAACTCCATATTATGTGCCGTTGACGCACTCGCCAAAAAATTTTGAAGGTAGAAGTGACGTTGTATGTCGAGTCGCGTCGTCTGTCGACGACAAATACTTTTTCAAAGAATCTTATCAAAGAAGCGCAAACAACTGGAAATCTTTAACAATATCTGTAGAACGGATACAAATAATGAAAGCATAGCTCGTTTTTGGTCAACCCGATCGCGGAGTGGAAAATTGTAGCAGGCAAATCAATCACGGAGACGACTACAACTTAAGGTGAATAATAATGAGTTGCGAGTTGAATGGTGATAGCAGTATAGCTCCTTGTGAAAGAGTTCGTCCAGAGAAATACTGCCACTTTAGTCCATAGCTTCTTTAAATCTGATACAACCACTACAGCTGATAGCTGTTGTAAAGAAATACGGCAGATGATGGCAAGACTTGCCTAGAAACACGATAACGCAATAGCGCAAAGCAGTTGCAGTTAGAAGGTGTTCGTCACGTTCCATGCTCACCTGACTTGGCCCCTATCGACTTTTTCTGTCATTTAGTTAATTATCTACTACTAAAACAATGTAGGTCTCGTGAAACTCGAAAATGAGCCCTAAGACCGTGAAAATAAGCATACATCAAGATAGCAAAAGCATTGACAATAAAATGAAAGTATTATTAAATAAAAATTGGCTTCTAAAACATTTTCTTCCGTTCCAGTTCTTTTAAATAGAACTTTTAGGTATATTTTTAATAACAACGCACCCTGTGTCGCGGGTGCCATGGACACATTACCAAGACAACCACAAATTACACCCAAACTCACGAGAGAAGTAAATGTAGGCCATACAAATATTTCTCCCGGCCCGGCAATCGAACCTGGGACCTCTGCGTGGCAGTCCTTCATGGTGATCGTTCGGCCACGGAGGGAGTTATTGTAAAATAGCTATTGTATATTGGATTTGTTAAATTTTGCAGTGCACCTGTCTCTTCGTGACTCTGCTCACGCTAAGCCACGCGTTCATGGAGGACTTCGAGGAGAATATGCAGCGCGAAATGGACGAGATGAACAAGCAGATGCAGCAGGACATGGAACAGGAACTCGTGCAGGCCACGGTGCGTGATTAGATTTGTATGTTGAATCGTAGTATAGTCGCGTACACGTTGGATTAGCATTAGTTGTCTTAAAACTTATAGTTGCTTGATTCCACCCCCAAGCCGGATCGATTTCGACCCCATCAGTGTAATACGTATCATGTGTAATATCGTATACTGTTCGCAGGGCAAGTCGCTAAGTGCCGTACAAGACATAATGGCAAAATCGTCAACATCGTGCAACAACGGTCACTGTCTCATCTGTGTTAACGACGATTGCGAAATGTGCTCGCGTGGCTCGTGCGCGCACTGCGGCGGCAGTAGCTGCTCCAACTAGATTGCATCGCAACGACACTGAAGCTCGATCGCCATCGCCATACGCACTGAACAATTGTAGCTCGGGGGACGCGAGAAGGGAACGCGCTCGACCAATCTCGAGCGTTGTCTGTGGTCATTCAAAAAAGCACGGCCGAGGCATGGATCGAGAACATTTCCTTCCAGCGTCCCGCAGAAAATGTTTCTTTTTAGTGCTCAGACTGTGATTACGATTAAACTTGAGATGTTTCACAACGACAGATTAGACTAAGTGTACTGCATCAAATCGTCTACGTCTGATTTGCATATTTCACCTCAATGTTTTCAGTTTCCGCTAGACATTTTACTTAAAATATTGTTAGGCTTACTTAGATCTATTCGTATAATATACCCCTATCTGTTATTAAATGACAGCCTTTCCTATTACTTTATGAAAGATGTAACTCATCATTGAGTCGTTTGCGAAAAATTTGTATACAGTTCATCAGTAGATGTCACATACAACCGGGGTAATTGGGTAATAGTGGACCAATTATAACTTTATTATACAAATGCTTTCTTTTACTATACTCTGGTATTACACGAGAAAATTTATACTTTTAATTTACAACCTACAGAAACAAAATATGTTGCCAAATAATGGCAGCAATGTATTAGCACATGCTCCGGTTGATATTGCTTTTTAGAATTCTCATAAAAATTGTTTCAATTTAATTTCACGCTCTTCTTTTTTTCAAACCTTCGTGACATCCTTGAGACGAATGATTTACGCCATACGACTTTGGAAGGGTGCAGGCATCTTCATTTCCATTTCCCCCTTCCATAAGACGAACTCTAGTCTATGCATTAATTTAAAAAAAAATGTTTTGATACTTGGTATGCACCCAGGCGAAGATCATAATACCATTGATATTACTCTGGGTGCGTGTAGTATGATTTGTATGCTAGTATGCTATTTTTATAATTAACTGTCCAATATGGACGTAGGCGACGTTCCGCCACCGCTTCCGCTGTTTCCACGACAACAAGGAAACCACCACGCCAACGTTATGTAGGCTTGTGATAGTACATTGGTCAACACAGGCCTCTCCAAAAAAAGGGAGCTTTGCCATAATCACCACGCGCACCAGACAAAACTCGCAATTCAGATTCTTATGTAGTCCCATTCGTGAATAAATAAATATTAGACAACATCTACCTACACGTTGCTCTGATCCTAAAGTAAGTAGCTAAAGCACTTGTGTTATGGAAATCGGAAATAACGACGGTACCACAAACCCCCAGACCCGGGACAATATAGAAAACTTAGTTTCTACATTGACCCGGCCGGGGATCGAACCCGGAACCTCAGGGATGGCGACACCGCTTGCAACCACTCGACCACGTGTGTACCAAGTGAATAGATTAAAATCTAATTTCAGCAAAGCTTCCGGTCGTCCATCGTTACTCCATACATAATTTTTTTTCTAAACGGGTTAAACTATAGAAGTCGAAATCGGGACTTCGCCACGCTATGCCCACGTGATAACCTTTGATCTGTCAACATTGTACATCTAATTTATATAATTAATAGTTTCACGTACTCTACACGACACAGCCGATGAGGAAATGATGTCACCGGCCCAAGTTCATAATAAAATAGCAGCGATCGTCCGCGAAGGTCGCGGGTTCGTTACCGTTGTTTGTTTCGTTTCTTTCCTATAATGTAATGTAATTGCCGTAAAGAAAACGCCGCGACATAAATTTGTACACACGCCATAGGAGATTCACACAACTCTTGCAAAGATTTACCTTACAGGGAAAGACTTGAATGCGGAAAGGACATTTCACATTTAACATGAGTGATTCATTCGTACGGTTTCAATCTCGCTTGCCTCGCGAAAAATTTTCAAGTACTTTAGCTTGGTCGCCATAAGTATGGGTTTTCTGTTGTCTGCGGCATATTGAAAAAAATCACTACAAAAATTCCACTTCGATAACCTTAAGCACTTGACCAACATCAGCTTTTTAACCCGCGCCTCACAGACAAGTTAGGTGAGGATGAGGACGTGAACAAACGCGAGCCGATCACCCACACGCACACACGTGCCCACAGCAACCGATATAGCGATATAGAGAATAGGATGTAGCTGGCCACCTACATGAAATGTTAATGTGTTTTTGCACTACGGCGACGAATACTGCGAGGTGTGTGGGGCGACACCAGCTTTGGACGTTTTATGTGTCACCATCAGTTAAATTAGGGTTTTCTTTGCGAAAAGCACTTATTGCTGTTCTCGTAGCTGTAGTTATTTTTAGGCGAGTAGTTTGTGTAATAGAGTGTACACGTTTCAATCGACATCAATAGAAATATATTCTACGCGGTCATCCGGAGCACATTTCGATCGCCATTTTACTTTTATCAAATTTAAAACAAAAAGACAGTTATTTCTCCACAAAACATAAGAAACACAATACTTAAAAAACGAGTAGAAAAGGGAATTGAGTGATGTAGACAAAAAGATTAAAGACTCAGCATTGCTGATTTTCAGCCTTCACCTGTAGCTAGCTGTTCGGTTGCTACCAAACTAATATGCGGAGTGTACACCAAGTAATAACCTACCTGAAGTAATAACTAGTAATAATTAAAATGTAATGGCTGTCCGTATAAAGGCATATTTTTTATAAATTTAACCTAAAATTTAAAATTTTGTGCATTTCTCGCAGTTACCATCGTCCAAATTTGTTATAGACATCCTTGTGTTCCAAACTTACGAACCGTCATAACTATGAGCTTTACAAGTCAACATTGTCATGAGACAACACAGGCTGGGCCGAAGCAACACCATTGTTCCCTTAGGCTTGTTACGTAGGTATTTTCACTATTTTTGAGATCGGTAGTCCGTACGCAGTAGCATGTATAGTAGCTGAGCTCCATGCAAATTAAATGTTTTGTTACAAAGACTACAAGTAGGACATTTATTACCCGACCCGATGTTTTTTTAAAACGCTTCAAGTTAACACATAGTTCCCGGTTTGTAAAATTTGCCCATTAAATAGGACAAGTAAACATTTTTATTGTTTGTGATTCAATATGACGACATTAATGGCGCTTATTTATCATAAAATACATAAAATTATAATGGTTTCACAGTTTCATTACAGCTGAAACTAATCTTATACGGCTTTTTTAAAGAACGTACAATTTCAAAGTTTAATATTGAAAGTACGTGTATTTTCCTTATCAGTACTATTTCATCTCTCGATTAGTTGTTAAATTATTTTCGGTATTACTTCCAATTTTCTTAGTCGTGCGCCCGATGGTAAGCGGCACGCCTGTCCATAACAGTTGCAGTGCCACACGGAGCTTTAAATCGCAAAGATCTGAAGGCACTGCCACTGCGTCGGTCACCCCGAGACATAAGTTTTCAAGTCCCATGTGCCTAAAATAATACCAGCACCCTTACCCTTCGAAACCAGAACACAGTAATGCTGACATTACTGCTTGGCGGCCGAAATAGGTAAGGTGGCAGTACTTCCCTGGACGAACTGTTTCACAAGGAGCCCTACTGCTACTAAACTTGCCTGTTCCATATTTATTCTTGCTTTGAAAGAGGGTGGGCTCCCCACTGGTGCGCCCTGATGACTGGACACCCACCAGCCATTCATCCCATCGCCGGGCGCTAGAACTTGGAATTGGGGTGATTTTTTGTATAGGTTTTCTTCCTCGCAGCCCTCCTCTCAGTGAGGAGGACCCCCGGTCACACTCCATGTGGGATTACGGGTTGGCCGGAGCCGGTTCTGAGACCGAGCACCGCCCATCGTCTCGGTTACGAGTTCGATAGCGCCGGACGGAACCAACGCTATCTTCCTCCCCTCCGGGTGCTGGTTTTGGTCCGCGCCGGCCGAAGCCGGTAGCTCCCATATCTGGGAGCCGTTCCCCTATCCGCGTCCGATGGCAGACCAGCAACTGCACGGACGTTTGTGAATACCTGCGATAATTCGTAACTCACAATATCAGAAGAATTTCCCCAGACAGTTAAAGCATAACCAATAATTGATTGAATATAGGCATAGTATACACCTAAAATACTTTCTTAATTCACTAGTGGTTTAAGTTTAAGTAAGGCATAATTTGCCGCTGAGAGTTGTTTACATATCTTGTCAATGTGAAGAGAATAAGCCAATGTGTCCTGAATAACATATCCTAAAAATGTGGTATATCTAGTGCCAATGTTCTTTTTTTCTGACTTTGTTTTGTATTCTATGGTAACGGTTTTTTTCTTACTAAGGACTATGCCGTTTGTGGTAAACCATGTACTAAGACTATCCTTAACAAAAGTTTGTTTTTCGAGCATTTGAATTTTATTTGTGGCTGATATTCCTACATGAGTATTATCTGCGAATAGATTTACATTTGACCGTGATGGAAATGCGTGTGGCAAGTTGTTAATATAGATGAGGAATAACAAAGGTCCTAATATTGATCCTTGCGGAATTCCGATGTCAATTTTTCTAACATCAGAAAATATGCCTTCCACCATTACAGACTGAGTTCTATTTGAAAGATAGGATTCCATTAAACTTAGTTCCTTATTCTTAAAACCGTAGTATTCTAGTTTTTTTATAATTGTATGTCATGTCGTAGGCAGACGAAAGCCTTCGACAAATCACAAAAAATACTACTGCACTTTTGGGCTCTATCTCGCGATTCTAGTATGAAGTATACGACTTTTCTTATCGCAATTTCTGTGGACCTTCCTGTTGTAAAGCCATATTGGCAGTCTGCGAGCAATTTATTAACCTCTAAAAATGATGTTATTTTTCTTTTCAATATCGATTCGAAAATTTTTGATATAATAGGCAGTACACATACCGGTCTGTAATTATTTACGTCGTCTTTCTCGTCTTTTTTTTTTTTAATGGTATTATAAGACCTACTTTCAACACATCAGGAAAAGTTCCTACTACGGTAGGCATGCATTAAATATAAATAGTAACATGTTTAGTAAATTATCATTTAGCAAAATCAGGCATTTAAGCAGCCATTTAAGATCGTTCGTTTTTTAAGTTCTTTATAGTTAGAGTAAGTTCGTCTATTGTAATATACTAAAATTGGATAGTTTGTTTAGGTTCTTTCACTTTATGTAGGTATGACATATATTTATAGATATTTATAGATAATGTTTCACTGGTTTTATGTGTTACAGCCGTGAAATATTCATTAAAATGATCTGTTATTTCTTTTTTACTTTTTACTACTACATTATCCTTTTAATTATTAATACCTATCTATTATTGCTCTTTTTACATTTCTTTTAGTCTGTTTATTTACTATTTTCCAAATTTCTTTTATTTTATTGCTTGATGCGTGTATTCTTTTCATGTAATTAAATTTTCTAACCGAGATCATTACTTTTTTTAAGAGTCTTTTTATACATTTTCAGTCTAGTTTTTCTTTTTGGACAAGGATATGTAAGGACATTGAAGAATTTCCATTTTTGACAGATTGTTTTTTGGTATTAATATACCTTTAGTATCCCACCTAGTAGTTTTAGTGTTAGACTTGTATATTTTTCTCACTGGAATAGCTACGTCAAGACAATATTCGATAGTTTCTAAATAAATATTCATTTTTTCATTTGTGTCATCAGTATTTAAAATTTGTTCAATAAATTTATAATCCTTATTTATCAAATAATGAAAATA